ATAGTTTGTGCTTTTTGTTATGTATTTAAGAAATCTTTGCTAAACCCAAGATCAATAAGATCCTACTTTGAGTTAATTGTTGACTATGGGGTGAGGTTAGAATAAGATTGTCCTTTCCCCCATTTAATTACCATGGTCACTTCGCTGAAAAACAAGTGACCACATATATGTTGGTCTATTTCTGGATTCTCTACTCTGTTCCATTGAATTATAGGTCTATTTTTATGCCAATATCATACTGTATTCATAACTACAGCTTATAATGTCTTCATAAGATAATGTTAGTCCACTAACTTTGTTCTGTTTCAAAATTGTTTTGTTATTCTATGTCCTTTGGATATCCAAATAAATTTTTTAAATCAACTTGTCAACTTCTTTAAAAGAAAGACCTATTGGTATTTTGATTGGGATTATATTCTATAGACCAATTTGTGGAAAAATGACAATAATATGGAGTCATCCAGTCCATGAACATGATATATCTCTCATTTACTTCGAGGGTTTTTTTTTATTTTCTCTTGGCAATGTTTGGAAAAAAATTTTTAGAATCCTAGAAATGATTATCAACACCAAGTCAGCTGCCCCACCTTACCTATTCCCTTCCCTTAGATCATTACTACAGCAATAATCTCATAATTCCTTTTAGCTACATCTAATCAAGATAGCACAGCCAAAACTGAAAAGAAAATTAATAAAACAGACACTTAAGGGAAGTTGAAAATATTATGGTCTCAGGTTCTATGTCCAACATTTACTTATACTGTTGATTGAGAACCGATCAGAAAGGGCTCAGAAAAAGCCAGAGACTTACTGTGCCAAACTCACACGATTTCATAAGGCTAAACAGTACAATCAACATATAAGCATCTTTCTTAAGTAAACAGAACTATAACATAAAATAGCATGGAGCATGAAGAGATTGGTTAGAAAACATCCTTATTTGCAACATGGATAAGCAATTCAGAAACTTACTGTTGGACAGGACTGAGCCCGGTTCCAGATCAAATCAAACTTCTCTTCCTGTAGGTTAGAAAGGACTAAAAGTCACAAACAAACAAACAAATAAAACCCCATAAAAAGCTACAATGACACTTAATTCACCAAGACTGAACTCCAGAACTAAAATACAACTAAAACAATCTAAGTTTCATCATTTACAAATGCCTCTTATGACAGAGAGGAAAAACCAGATGTATTCTTTGCTGGTCAGTATCAGAATGTGCTGTGAACAGTGTATACTCTAAATTGCTCCAAACTCTCCAGGGGACTCTGCTACGGATCTGAGACATCAGGTCACTAAGTCTGTCTGAGGGAAGGCTTAAAAAGTTCCAAACAGAAAGCTAGTATCAGAGATCTAAATCTCATAGAAGTACAGATTCCTTGGCTTTTGAACCTTTGAAGGGGAAGGGTATACATGTATAAGAGGTAGAAAAAAAATAACAATACTCTTACAACAACCAAAAGGCCAGGCTTTATTTTCCATTTATAAGTTTTTCTCTTTAATCTTACAATTACACATGTAAGCTTGGTGTATATTGCTTGATATAAACTTAATCTAGGCTATTTCCTCTTTTGGGAAGAAAAACAAAGAACTAGCTGATACCCCAGTACATCAAATGATGCTTCATGGTCAAGCAGTGACCACAGAGTAACAATCTCTATGACAGCAATTTTAAGAAGGAAAGAAATAAAACACCCCATAAGAAAATGCCACTTGGTAAGAGGAAATGTCAGAAAAAGATTAGGAAGAGGCTCCAAGGCAGCTCACAAGAAAGGAAGAAACCCTATGTTAAATTCCAATAGCTTGGGAAACACTAGAAAGAAATAAAAGACTTGGAAATGGCTCAGCAACATGAACTTACACCACGCTCCCTGGTCAGAGACTTGACTCAAAGAGACATTTCTAAACCAGAATATGGGAAAACAAGAGCTATAAATATACCATATGGAGCTTCCAATCTTTGGTACTCAGGGCATAATAAAAACCCTCAGAGCTATAAGTGTAAGTTCTCAAGAGGCAATAAACATAGGAAAAGTAAAGGGAAATGCCTGCTAAAGTTAGGGACCTGACCTTCATGCTATAACACTTTCATTTTCCCCTTCAAACTACTTACAGGAATAACTGCATAGACTGTATCTTTTGCTGCAAAATACTGCTGCCAAATCTGTACAAAAAAAAAAAAAAAAAAGAGTATGTCTATGACATGTGGGTAATCTTTTCAACCTGCACCAAGGAATGATGACAGCTTTCATTACTCACAGTAACATACAATTTGATAACAGAGAGGAAAACCCAAAGTAATTCTTTTATTTCTAGTATATGATTACAAAAAGATTTAATACCATCTACTCTTCTAGATAATTAAACTGTAACTCTTAATAACAAATTCCTGTCAGAGAAATGGAGTCTATGACCTTGTTAATCATTTCTCTCAAGACGTGCCTTGTATATAATAGACAAGCTCTTTTTTTTTCATTTTCATATCGTCTCTCTTCCTTCCCCAAACCCAAACTCCCTAGCCCAGTGGTCAGCAAACTCATTAGTCAACAGAGCCAAATATCAACAGTACAATGATTGAAATTTCTTTTGAGAGCTGAAAACCGACTTCTGCGCATAGGCCATGAAGTTTCAATCGCACTGTACATGCATGCCCACATGTGGTATTCTGTGAAAGAGCCACACTCAAAGGCCAAAGAGCCGCATGTGGCTTGTGAGCTGCAGTTTGGCAACCACTGCCCTAGCCAACTGTGGGCCTTCTTAGAAAGTAGGACATTAGTCACTCAAAACCCAGAGTTTAGAGTCAGGCAGGTCTGGATACAAACCCCAGCTTCAATCATTTGCTAGCTATGCTACTTTAGGCAAGTTATTGAAAAATAACAAAATAATATCTATATAACCATCAGTAAAACAGCAATAGCATCACCCTCACAGGATTGTTGTGAAGACGAGCTGAAATAATTTAGGTTTGTGCTTAGCAAACAGAATTACAATGCAACCCAGAGCCAAAGTGCTGTGAGGGCAACAAATAGCCCTTAACCCAAGTTAGGGAATGAGTGCCAGAGGAGAGGACACTTGAGCTGTATCTTAAAAAATGATCAGGAGTTAGCCAGGTGAACAGGGAGTCTGGGAAGACATAGAGGTAAGGAAGAAGATAAGAGAACATTCCAAGCAGAGAATGATAACATTAGCAAAGACATAGGAGCAGAGGAAGACATCATAGCCAAAGTGACATCTGAACTGGTGTTGAAGAATGGACCACCCTCGTTTAAAGCTGCTCTTCGTTAACATTCCCATTAAAATTGGGAATGTTACTAATTCCCAACTAAGATACTAATCAAAGTGTGATCTAGCCAACACAGAGCACAGAAGGACTGTTACTTCCTAGGACTTGGGCAAATCACTCTATCAGTGCAACCTAAGGTTGCTTTGCTTTTATTTTTCATGTCAGAACACTGCCTTCTCATTTTAAGGATAGTATATCTTGCTTATTTTTATTTAATTTATATTAGTAGTTAGTTTATGAATCAACACTGAAATACACGAGATTGATAGATAATTCCTAACATAGTTGACTTTGGTCACTCAAAATTATTTTAACAAACACAAATTTGTATATAAAATTATAAGTCTAAATGATATTTGTCATATGATAAGGAGTCTCAGGCCTGGCTTCTCTACCCACTAAAGGACATAGTTGGTGTCTACTTTCCATTGGCACTTCTTCCCAAAGTCAGTTTGAGGTCTCCTTGAGACTGCATAAGCCTCTATTAACAGAGGTTAAAATCCTGTACTGTCCTTATTTCTGTGTCTATCCTTCCATAAGGTTAAAACTCCCTGAGAGTAGGGATTCTCTCATTTATTTCTATGTCTGGCACAGAGACTGACATTTAACAGGTGTGCAATAAATGTTTGCTAAAAATGAATGATGTAGCACCCAAAAGAAACCATGGCAATTGGCACAACTTCCCATAAAGGAATACGATGCAGAGTGAAATGGACATGGGTTTGAGTCTCATGTTCAATTCCCCAAATAACTCTAGCTCTACCACTTACTAAGTTACTTAATTTCATTAAGCTACAGTTTCCTCAGTGTAAATTTGGAATTATAACACCTACTTTACAAAGTAGTTAATGAAATAGTGCATATGAAACATGAACAGTATCTGACACATATACTGTTTTTATTATTCTGATTCTCTCAATATACCTAAAACACAACTCATGGAACTATAAGGAATGCCAATAAATAGCATATTATAATCTATCTAGAGGCCAGGTGCACAAAATTTGTGCACAGGGTTGGGGGGAGGTGTGTGTCCCTCAGTCCAGCCTGCACCCTCTCCAATCTGGGACCCCTTAAGGTAGGGGTGTCGAACTCAATCAGAGAAGGGGCCAAAATCTAAAATCCAGCCTAAATCGAGGGCCGAATGGTTTACTGAACAGTCATAAACTGTCATTGTGATGGAAACGCAGCGGAGTGCAGTGATGACAGCGCAGTGCGGGCCACATTGCAAGGCCTGGCGGGACAGATTTGGCCCGCGGGCCTTGTGTTTGACACATGTGCCTTAAGGGATGTCCAACTGCCCATTTAAACAGGCAGTCAGACATCCCTCTCACATTCCAGGATTGCTGGCTCCCAATTGTTCACCTGCCTGCCTGTCTGATTGCCTCTAACTGCTTCTGCCTGCCAGCCTGATCACCCCCAAACCACTCCCCTGCCAGCCTGATGGATGCCTAACAGCTCCCCTGCCAGCTTGATTGTCCCTAACTGCCCTCCCCTGCAGGCCTGGTCACCCCCAACTGCCCTCCCCAGCATGCCTGGACACTCCCAACTGCCCTTCCCTGCAGGTCTGGTCCACCCCAACCTCCCTCCCCTGCAGGCCTAGTTGCCCCCAACTGCCCTCCCCAGCAGGCCTGTTACACCTAACTGCCCTCCCCTGCAGGCCTGGTGAGCCCTAACTGCTCTCCCCTGCAGGCCTGGTCACCCCCAACTGCCCTCCCAGCAGGCCTGGTCACTCCCAACTGCCCGCCCCTGCAGGCCTGGTCACCCCCAACTGCCCTCCCAGCAGGCCTGGTCACTCCCAACTGCCCGCCCCTGCAGGCCTGGTCACCCCCAACTGCCCTCCCCTGCAGGTCTAGTCCCCCCCAACCTCCCTCCCCTGCAGGCCTGGTCGCCCCCAACTGCCCTCCCCTCAGGCCTGGTCACCCCCAACTGCCCTCCCCTGCAGGCCTGGTTGCCCCCAACTGCCCTCCCCTGCAAATCTGGTCACCCCAAACTGCCCTCTCTTGCAGACCTGGTCTCCCCCAACTGCCATCCTCTGCTGGCCCAGTCACCCCTAACTACTCTCCCCTGCAGGCCTGATCCCCCTCAACTGCCCTCCTCTGCCGGCCCAGTCACCCCTAATTGTTCTCCCCTGCTGGCCTGATCACCCCCAACTTGCAGGCCTGGTCCCTCCCAACTGCCCTCCCCTGCTGGACTGATTGCCCACAACTGCCCTCCCCTGCTGGCCATCTTGTGGTGGTCATTTTGTGTCCACACAGGGTAGCCATCTTGTGTGTTGGAATGACGGTGAATTTGCATATTACCTATTTATTAATACAGGATTAGAGAAAAGAATCATAAACATGAACATTTAAATAACAGTGAAATAACCAGAGGCAGGACAGATCAAGAGTGCTTTGAAGGCTCAGCTGGTGTGGCTCAGTGGTCAAGTGTAGAGCGCTGAACCAGAAGGTCATGGTTCAATTCCTGGTCAGGGCACATGACTGTGTTAAGGGCTCAATCTCCAGCGTGGGGCATGCAGGAAGCAGCCGATCAGTGATTCTTTATCATCAGTGATGTTTCTATCACTCTCTCCCTCTCCCTTCCTCTCTGAAATCAATGAAAATATATTTTAAAATAAATTAAAAAAAATTAAAACACAAATATAGCATTTACACTGTGCCAGGAACTGTTTAAAGTGCTTTACAAATATTAACTCATTTAATTTCCCAAATAACTCTATAAGGTAAGTACTATTACTATTTCCACTTTACAGATAGGGAAACTAAGGCTCCAAGGGGTTAACTAACTTATTCAAATCATTCAGCTAGTAAGTGGGCAGAGCTAGGATTTAAAATAGGCAGCTTGGTTCTAGAGTCTTCGTTCTTAATCAATAATATTATGCTTCTCCAGAGCAGAACTTTAAGAGGATTCAACTTATGAGGATATGGTAGGAGAAGTGGGAGAAATAAGAGCAGGAAAACTTATTTAGAAAGGTAGTACAGTAATCCAGGTATAGGGCAGCAACGATTTAAAATAAGATGTGGACAATAGGAATGAAGAGAAAAGGGGAAATGTGAGTTGATTAGATGTGCAGAAGTGAGACCAAGAAAGATAAGTTTTCTTATGCCACTATTTTTCATGTAATTCATCACTTTTCTATCCATGGCCACTTTTCCTTTTGGCTAGAAAGAGGTGTCAGGAAATCTATGGTCCTTTCTACTTTCAGATTTGGTTCACAGAACACACATTTTCATAAAGTACATCCACCCATTTTCATTCAATACCTGCTTTATTTCTTCTGCAGTTTTGTCTTTTACCATCTCAATGTTAAAGATTGAACTGAGAGTCTGAAAGGGAAAATAAAGGAAATTAACACCACAATTTAAAAAACAAAGCAGCTTAACTTTATCTGTAAGCTTTGTGGGAAGCAACATGACAGTACAGTGTACCAGATCCTCAATAAGTAGAGAAGAGTGTAAGAAAACTCCTATTTGCAAAGAAGTGAGCCTCCAAGCCCGGGCAGGTTTTTGCAGTTCTAGTCTTGGGGGGAACAGGTACTTTCTAAATCCTTCACCCTCACAAGGAGCACTGCAGCACTTTGCAACTGGTAAGAGGAGAAAGTTTGCTTACCTTTAATTTAACTGCCATTCTGCCAGGGGTTGCTCCTTAATTGCAAGTTAAATGACAGAGTAAACATGTTCTTATTTGATTTTTAAAAACATATTCCTATGGGGAAAAAGGGTATCACTATATTTCCTCTAACATCCCCAGGATCCACACTATGATAGGTGTCACATCAAGGACACAAAAATTCATAGAATAGTTCTCATCACCACAGTTGGTAAATCACAAAATCACTGAACCACAGTAAACATGTTCATATTTGCAGTCTCTTATTATAGACTAGAGGCTTGATGAACACAATTCGTGCAAGGGGCTTGGCCCTCACAGCTATGGTGGCTTGCCTTGACCCTCGCTGCCCCAGCTTTGTCTGGAAGATCATCCCGAAGGATGTCCGGAAGGTTGTTTGGCTGTCCAGTCTAATTAGCATATTACATTTTTATTATTATAGATGTTACATGTTCAAAACTAGGTATTTAATTAGAAACCTACCTTGTCCTTAGTGAATCCTCTGCTCATAGGCTGTTTCCCCAAAGTGTTTTCCTAAAATATGATAGACAAGACATGAATCTATACTTCACTCAGAAAAAGACCACTGAGGTAGTGAGGTGCCCTGTATCTCATTTAGTAATTTTGTACCTAAGAACTTACCTCTCTTGACTCCATATAGTAACTGTACATACTGTTCTTAAGAGTTGTTTGTGAGAACTTTTTAACATAGCTTCTGAGATACAGAGATGAGATACAGCATTTACTAGTACAGAGAGTGCATTCTTATTTTTATGGATATAAAGTGCCCCTTCCCAGATTGAGGGCTGATTGGGTTTTCTATGTTCTGCTCCACAGCGAGCCACAGAGGAGGCAAGGAATGGAAAGATCTATTTTCCTAGGCTGTTTCTTATCTGTGACAGCACTTCTGATGGCAGACATCCTCAGCAAACTGTAAAGTCTTTTTAGTATTCATTCCTTCCATCAAATTAGACTTCCCCTCAAAAAAAGCCAAAAACAAATGCAGGTGATTATTTTCTCTTTTAATCCACTATCTCTGATAAAGGCCAGAGTCAGGAAATCCTATTTTGATTGTTTCTGGTAGTGGGCATGGGTTATTCTGAGTGAGTCTTCCACTCAGTTTCTCAGTTCAAGATCAAGCCTTTCAGAGGGAAGGAGTACAAGCTACATCTGGGATTTGAAGGTGAAAAACACTTTCTGCATAAAAACCTGCCTTTCATTACTCTGTGCTTTAATATATCTAAACCTTACTTAAATTATGCCCATAGAACTCATAACCACAAGTTAGACAAAAGAATGGAAAATCTATTTGTATACACCCTGACCTTTTTGGTCAGATCCTATACACTGATAGCATACCAAAGAGAAGTGATTTCATTTTCTTACCACTCACCTTTAGGTGTATTGTGAAAACAAAAGAAACAAAACCCTCCATTTGCACACTGCCTTCACTTTTCAATGACTAAGCCTGGTATATTCTTTTTCAACAATGTCTCTTCAATTCATTTATTTCCATATTTACAGAAATAAAAAATTTAAACTTACTGCAATTTATCTAATCAAGAACACCACAGATTTTAAGAAGCACCATTATTTTATGATGTATTAGAAAATGATGCCAATTAAACAATAACACTGTACTTATATTTCATTATCAATTTTAAGGCAATTTCAAAGATATTAAAATGTGAAAAAAATGTGAACTTAAAAAACAGTGAAATATAGTAATTAAAATTACAATTGACACTATGTGCCCAAGTTTTAAGAGCACTTAATAAGAAATTTAAATGAGTACATTACTACTTCCCTACGGATTCTTTTGAAATCTGTGGAGAGAACTTTTTTAGCACAATAATTGACTGGATGGTGACACCTGCATTTATGGAGGGACAGGGATGCTAAATGAGCTGCAATTTTACAGATGAGTTAATGAAGCACTTTTCCTCATCCTGGACAACTTCTCAATGTCTAGCTAGACATCCTTGTAAGTGAAACACCTTTTTTATAAAGACCTGGGCCTAAAATCTAACTCTGTTTCCTTCCTTCCCTCCTTCCCACCCATCATTCCTCCCTCCCTCCCTCCCTCCCTCCCTCCCTCCCTCCCTCCCTCCCTCCCTCCCTCCCTCCCTCCCTTCCTTCCTTTCTTCCCTCCAAATCTTCCTCCCCCTCTACTCTTCCTCCTTTTTACCTTCCTTCTTTTCCTTCCTTCCTTCCTTCTATTACCTGGACCTGAAATCTAACTGTTTTATTTCCTTTCCTCTTTCTGCCGAGAACCAATTTCAGCATGTAATCATTACAAGGGTTCCATCAAAAGGTTGATGGGACTTGGGTGGCTCAATACGGGTGAGCCACATATGTAATTTACCTGTTAGAAACGGCTAAATGGCACTTCCCCCAAACCTGAATAGGATTGTTAACTGTCAGACAGCTCAGGGCATTTTATTGCCTCCTATTGGCCAAACACCTGAACAGCTGTTGGCTATTCATCAATCTGACAATAAATACCCTTTGAAATGTATATTTCTACCTTGCCTTAGGATAAATTGTGTTGAATAAAAGCAAGGGTTCTTGGTCAAGGAAAAAGTCTTCAGTTCCTTTTAGCTGAAGGTCCTCTGATCCCCAATGCCTTTCAAAATTTATCTTTTGTTCTTGGACTCCTTCTTAATCATCTACATGCAGCATCTCTCTCCAGAATGCTGAACCCTTTGTAAGGCTGGGAAAAGAACCCTGGCACTTTCCTTTCTCTTTCCCTATTTTTTTTTTTTTTTAAGCACAGCTTTAATAAACACTAAATTTTTCAGAAACGCGATTACTATGTAATTTGAAAGAAGACAATATTGTGGAATCTATGAGGGTCACTGATTACAACACTGCTCATAGTTTGGAAGTTTTTATAATTACCAACATAATCCCCCTGCACCAGTCAGTTTTTGCTGCTTATATTATTCACAGTGATTTCACATATAAGTGAAAGCATCTGATGACTGCATTAGGTCACAGTTGTGCACAAGAATTCACATATTAAAATATGAATTTTATTTAAAAATACTTTACTTTATTTCATAGGGCACTATATTGATATTTTCCCCTCTGAAACTGTGTGTGTGTAGGTGGATTATATTGTCTACATTTTATTTCAGGGTAGAAAAAGGAACATTTTTAATAAAAAATTATTGCAAAAGAGGATGTTGGGTCTCATGTGACAGAAACCAATGACTCAAAGAAAAGACGAGGCTTTGGAAATGGAGTGATTAGCCATTAATCAGCCTTCCTCTGAGTAACTAGATAAGAAAGACTGTAAGTAAATATTTACCCTAAGAGTTGCCATAATATAATGAAATCTTATTCTGCATCTTATCATAAAGTTGAGTCTATAAAAAGGGGCAAAGAGCTTTCCCATATAATATTGAAAGTTGATAATACAATAAAGAACTATTATTGGCACTATACATTTATTATGGTAAATTGCATTTGTTAAAGTATTTGTAGTAGAGTTGTTCACATAAAGCTATAAATTATGTTTGTCATAGAATAGGAGTGTCGAACTCAATCAGAGAAGGGGCCAAAATCTAAAATCCAGCCTAAATCGTGGGCCGAATGGTTTACTGAACAGTCATAAACTGTCATTGTGATGGAAACACAGCGGAGTGCAGTGATGACAGCGCGGTGCGGGCCACATTGCAAGGCCTGGTGGGACGGATTTGGCCCGCGGGCCTTGTGTTTGACACATGTGTCATAGAAGGTTGAATTTATTCCCCAACCTTACAATGATTAACCCACTGACTACTGCTCTAATTCTAATTAATCACTTATTAAAAGAATGGGTGGATTCGCTTAAAACTTAGGATACCCAAAGCAAAAAAAAGTTTTTCTCCAAGTAAAAGAAACATCTCTCATTTCAAAATACAATGCCAAATCCCAATTTCCTGAGCTGAGTAGAGAGAGGCTCTGTTCCGTTCATCCAGCTGACCCATTAATAAGACCAATTCCAGGATACAGGTTGGGGTTGAGGGTGGAGAGCACTGGTGAGCCAATTATCCCAAAAGGGACAGGTCTTACCTTCTGTTCCACACATTTGATGAAATCACCTTGCCTGGAGTGCCCCAAGGGCTGCTTCCGAAACTCACTGCGCTTCTCTAGTCGAGACTCAAAAGCAGCTGGGTCAGACCTGATCAAAGATAAACCAGTTAAACCACTGGGGCCTTTTCAGATTTGGAAAGGACTAGCAACATGTTCCATTTCTATAGAGAAGGAACACAGGTATTCAGAGGCTGAAGTATTTGCCTTCAGTTAGTTAGACCTGAGCACATGCCTACAAATCAAAAAGTGGACAAAATTGTCTAGTTATTCAACTATTGCTAATCCTCAAGAGGACGGTGTAACCTTTTTCTCCTGCAGAATATTTCCCAGGGTGACGGAGAGTTTGGCCCTCAGGTACTTAAACTTTGGGTACTTGGAATTCAAATTCTCAAGTTGGGAAGGGGACTTTGAGGCTATCTTGCTGGTCACCTCCTCAGGCAGAAATTTAAAAACATTCCTACCAGGTGTCAGGCTTTTACTTGAACACATCTAGTTCTTGGCATCTTCTCCTCAGGTTAAACATCTGTTTCTTCAGATGCAGGTGATTCAGAGGCTTTGGCCAACCTATTTTGCAGATTTAGCACCTATCTCCCTGACCATCTTTCTAAAAAAAAAAAACCTGCTCCTTCGGATGGAATGTCAGAATTTTTCCTTTATGTCAAAATGGGGCTGGTCTTCAGGCATGAAGTCCAGGATGGGGCTGTCATCCTTGTTAATGATTCTTCAGGCTGTGTAGCTAATGATATTTGGTTCTGTACACTTTGGTGAATACTCCAGCTCCTCAGCCATGAGACCTGTAGTGTCATGGATGATATCTATAAAATCCAAGCATGTCTTGCTCACCTCTCTGGTGGAATCCTGGCTGGTCAAGGCACTGTAGGGAAGTCTCTTCCATAAAACTCCTTTCCAGAGGCAATATTAAACACCACTCCCCTCACTGCCATGACCTGAGTATACGTTTCCCTCTGTAGTAGGCCAGCTCCTGGGTACAGAGTGGCTCCAAAGGTCCTGCCCAGTGGGGTGTGGCAACTGCCGGTCAGGGCCACAAGTACCAGAACCAGGGAGGCCACACCTGGGGTTGAGGGTGGAAAGCACTCATTATTATGAGGGTGTCATTAGTAAAATGATTTGAGCCTAAATTTATCTGTTATCTTTCATCCCCAGGAATAAGAGAAAAATGTCTAATTCTTTTTATATGAGTGAAAATCATTATTATGTCACCATTTAAATTCATCTTTTCTAGGTAAAATTTCTTCAGTTTTTTGAGACCCCTTTTCCTATAAGTGACTTGTGAATCTTTCTTCACTGTGGACCTGCTCTCTGGACACACTCCAGTCTGTCCACACTCTAAGAGATAGTGGGCCTGGAGCTAGATCAAATCCTCCCAATTCACTCATGTGGAGTGTGATGTAAAACCCAGATTCTGGGCTGGACTGGAGTCAACAGGGCACACAGACTTGTCCTTCTGTTGGCTCACATCACACCTGTGGCTGATACTCGACTAGCCCAGGGTTTTGTGAGTATGACTCAGCACGAACCAATCAGGACTGTAAGTCCCTTTAAAATATCTCATCATATCCTCCTACGTGTTTGGTCCTGGGTCCCAAGGCCAGGCTCTATTTTGCCTCTTCCCTTAACTTGGCCCAGGTTCTACTGACCCTTTTTTTGGCCCTGCTTTCATACCCCTTTTCATCTACCTCTTCCTCATGGTCTTTTCCTTTTTGAATCCACACAGCTTCCCCTCCATCTCCCTGAATGGGTCTCTCAGCTGCTTCTAGAACTTACCCTTTTTCATTCATTCAACAAACTTTGTTATCCCTTCTTGCTGTTTACCTTTCTGGGCTCTATGATACAAAAATAATGAAGAAAGACTCCCCACCTCAAGGAGCTTCTATCTAGTAAGGGGGATAGACAAGTAACTAAGTATAGTAAAATGCTACTGATGTATGATGCAATTTTACTCAAACATTCCCAAATAGTTTGAGATGGTTTCATGCCCCTGTATCTTTGCTGCTGATCCCCTTACCTGGAATATCCTCCCCCAATCCCATTCCTGTATTCCTTTGTGTTAACCCACAGTGCTCATAGGGAGTTTTGGTAATAAAGCTAGGGAGGCAAAGCTCACAGCGTAAGAGCCTTGTGAGGAACTCGAGGGAATATGGACATTATCCAGAGGTCAGCGGCAAGTTCAACATAGCAGAAAGTAAATGTCGATGGGAATGATCTAGTGGAGGAGAGTTAAGACCAGTCACTCATTTGTTCGTGGGTGAGAATGAAGACTAGTTGTGAAATATTCAGAGTATAAGTAGACAACTCTCCTGACATGGCTGTTTGTGAAAGAGATCAATGAGAAAAGGCTGAAGGGAAATGCAGGCCAAGAAAAGGTTTTTTAAGAAGACAAATATGTGAGTATATTTGAATGATGTTGAAAGAAGAGCAAAAAATAGTCATTCATTTATTCCATCATTCTTTCAAAAAGAGAAGAAAAGTCACCATAGTTGCAATGAGATGGACTGGGATGGAGGGGTCCAAGACGAGTGGGGAAGACTAGCTAGAGGATGACAGAGAGAGTCCAGGTGAAGATGATGGGGGATTAAATTAAGGTCGTGGAATGAGAGATGAGACCAAACTCAAAGAAGTTACAGTATTGGGTCTTTGGTTTCCTTCCATAAGACAACTGTCTGCCCACCCTGCCATATTCTCTCCTAAGCCCCTTTACTTTTCACCTTTGATCTCCTTTAGCTCCTCCACTTGAAACTCTTCAGACCCTACCATGGCCCCCACAAACTTCCTCTAAGCCCCAAGTCCTTTCATCTGGAAGCAGAAGAATGCCAACCAGCTGTGTGATCACGGGCAGGCCTCTTATTCTCTCTGATCCTCAGCTTTCTCACCTTAATGAGAGGGTTCAATGGATGATCCAACTGGGACACGACTACCAGGCCTCAGCTGAGTCAGTATTCGACCTCGAGCAAGTCAAGTGCCTTCTCTGGAAGGCTCCATTTCCCCATTTCTTTAAGGACAGGTGTCTTGGAGCTGCCTGCTTAGGAAACTAAAACACAAAGGTAGGCCACGGAGAAACAGCCAAGGCTTTGCAGAGACTCTCAGCTCTAACAGTAGATGTGGGACCTGTAGCTGTGGGATCTTGCCTCTCAGAGCCTGGTACTTCCCCTGGGTGCGGACAGAGGTAGTGCCCACCTTGCAGGGCTACAGGAAGCGACAGGCACACCGGAACCGCGGGCCCGCCGACCTCCCCCCACCCCCCCCACACACACACACTCGACCCCACGGGAGCCCGCACCTGCGCAGCTGCTGGATCTTGTCGCGGTACCGGTCGTAGAAAGGGTTGGCCTCGAGATCGGCTCCAACCCCGCCGCCGTCGCCCCCCGCGGGCTGGCGGGAGGCGCCGCGCACAGGGAACACCCGCAGCTGCGCGGGTGACACGAGCCCCAGGCCCAGGGCACGGCTGCGCACCGCGCACAAGCCCCGGTAGAGGCCGGCCACCTGCAGGACCGCCGGTCCCGCGCCGCCCGCCGCCGCCACCACGGCAGCCATCGCGGCCCCCACCTCCTCTTCCTCCTCGGTGTCCTCGGGCGCCCCGGCCTCGGCCCGCGGGCCTTGCGCCCGCTCCATTGGCACTCCGGGTCCGCGGCGCCGGCGCCCCGGCCTCGAGGTTCCGCGCGCTCAAGGTTCCGGGAGCCTGGCCGGCCGGGCGAAGGGGGCGGAGCGGGAGTTAGGGTCTCCAGGCCCCTGCACGTCCCTCCACTGCCCGCCTCCTCCTTGGAGCCCGCCCGATTCACGCCCGCCAGGTTGGTACCAGCAGCCTCTGCTCTCCAGGTCTCCTCTGGAAAGTCGCTGGGGTCTGCTGGTCCTCGCCGGAGCTTGCTCCCTTTTAAAGTCTTCTGGCACTTGCTGTAGTAGTTATCCTTCAGCATCGAAGGTGCTTTAATGGGTTGTAATCACCGAGTATTGTGAGACACAATAAATAAATATATCATGTTAGGTGATGATAGATGCCATTCGTTAAAATAGGAACCCTCGTGCACTGCTGGTGGGAATGCAGACTGGTGCAGCCACTGTGGAAAAATAGTATGGAGTTTTCTCAAAAAATTAAAAATGGAACTCCCACTTGACCCAGTAATCCCACTTCTAGGAATATATCCCAAGAAATAAAAGACTCCAACCAGAAAGATTATAGGCACCCCTATGTTCATAGCAGCACAATTTACAGCCTGAGTGCCCATCAGCAGATGAGTGAATTAGAAAACTCTGGTGCATCTACCCAGTGGAATAATGCTACGCTGCCATAAAAAGAAAGAACTATTAGCATTCACAACAGTATGGATGGGCCTGGAAACATTCTGCTAAGTGACATAAGCCAGTCAGAGAGAAATAAATATCACATGATCTCACTCATTTATGGAACATAATGAACAACATAAACTGAACAAAAATAGATTCAAAGACATAGAAGCATCGAGCAGACCATCAAACCCCAGAAGGAAAGTGTGTGTGTGCAGGGGGGCAGGAAGGGGTCGTTAAGAGATCAACCAAAGGATTTGTATGCATGCATAAAAGCATAACCAATGGACACAAACAATAGGGGGTGAGGCATGTGCTGGGAGTGGGAGCAGCCAGGGAGAGGTCAATGGGGGGAAAAGGAGACATATGTAATACTTTAAATAATAAAGAATTTAAATTTTAAAAAAAAGCAGAATAGAGATATGGATACTTGAGCAGAGACCTGAAGGAAATGAGGGCATGAGCTGTATGGATATCTAGAGCAAGAGCCTTCCAGATAAAGGAAATGACAAGCAGATGCTCTGATGCAGAAATATGCTTGCCCTGCTTGTGGTCACCAAGGAGGTTATTGTGTGAAGAAGTACAGAGAAGGGTAGTTAGATTGCTCAGGGTTTTGAAGGCCTTTGGTTTTGAATCTGAGTGAAATGGGAAGTCACTATAGGTTTTGAGCAGAGAAAATGATCTATTTTTAAAAGTATTCTGTCTGCTTGTGGAATGTGGGGCATGGGGCAGCAGGGGGGGGGGGGGCACACAAGGATAGAAGCTCTCCTAAGGGTGACCAGTTTGTCCTGGTTTACTTGGGACTTTCCTGGTTTTAACACTGAAAGTCCTATGTCCTGAAAACCTCCTCAGTCGCAGGCCAACTAGGATGATTGGTCACCCTATGGGAAGACTAATAATGCAAGTGAGAGATGGTAATGTTTAGAATAAGGTGATAGTGACAGGAACATGGCTTTGAAAGCAAGCCTAAAGAATTTGCTAATGGAGTGAATTTGTGAGAGAATAAAGGAGTTGAGAATGACTTATAGGCTCTGGCTTGAACAACTGAAAGGAGAGAGTTGCCATGTACGGAGAGGAGAAAGGCTGGGTAGGTTAGAGGGTGGATGACCAGGAGTTTAGTTTTGGTCATGTTAGTTTAAGATCACTTAATAGACTGACAAGTAGGGACATCAACTGGACTGTTGTGTGAATGAGTTTAGAGTTCTGAGGAACAGTCTGGGCTGGAGATAAAAAGCCATTAGTTATCGGTATATATAGGTGTATATATGATATTTAAAACTATGAGTCTGACGGGAGGGGTGTAGAGAGGTTAAGGAGGATTTAGGGAGGACAAATGGTGATGGACAGAGACTTGACTTGCAGTGGTGAACACACAATACAGAGTACAGATGATGTGTTGTAGAACTGTGCGCCTGAAACTTGTATAATTTTGTTAACCAGTGTCCCCTTAATAAATTCAATAAAAAGGAAAAAAAATCTCTTAGTCTGAATGAGATCACCGAGGGAGTGAATATAGATAGAGGGCTAAGGACTTGAGGGCATGCTAACATTTAGTGGTCAGGGAAAAAGAGAAACTAGCCAAGGAGACTGCAAAGCAGGAGCCCGTGAAGTATGAGGCAAGCTGAGGGTTAAGTAAACCTGGAAAGAAATCTATGCAGAATAGTGCCCAAGTCACATGCTGGGGGGCCACAGAGAGGAAAGTAATTAAATGGTGCCAAAAAGCTGAGCTAGGCCCAGGGGTAGTACAGGGAGGCTGACTGGAGCTTAATTAGGGAAGGGCTTTCTAACTGAGCAACCCATAAATGGATCAAGTTGCCTCAGGAGGTGTAAGCAAGTAAGTCCCTGACTCAAGCAAGTCCCAGGGGCTGAGTTGCTGCTCCAGGGCTCAAGCATCTGATGGATTTGGTACTAGACAATCCTCAAAACTTCTTCAAACTGGAGATGATAGCATTCTGGGAAGCCAACTGAAACTATTGGTCATAGAGTATGGAAGTTGAGCTGAGCTTTGAAGGATAAGCAGGTGTTCAGTGGGGGAAAGAGTGGGGAGGGGCACTCAAGTAGAGGCAGTATGAGCAAAACTTCAGAGATGTAAGCAGGCTGTGCTAAGAAGTCTGGCATAATCAGAAGGAAGAGGTAAGTGAAGGATGGGGAGGAGGGTGAGGCTGGAAAAGATGTAAGGCCAGAAAATAGGGAGCTCCCACAGGACATGGTGCCCTATGAACGCCACTTGTTGAAGGAAGGTAACGAAACAAAAATAAGATTGTTAAGAGGCAAGATAGGAGGCATTATTCGCTTAGTTCTCTTGAGCAGGTTTTCTGCCCAAAGCTGTGTGTGCTCCCTGCCACACTTCCCACTGGGAACAGGTCTCCATCAACTGTTCCTTAATGCCCAGCAACACGGATAAGTCCCTGAGGGACTGGGGCCCTTTCCTGGGGTTGGGGCTGTTTTGTGGGTTCACCATAAGGGGTAGGGGACAGACAATTCAGTGGCTGGGTCAGTCCCTGATTCAAGTGGTAGACATATAGTACAACATTAGATGAAGTCCCTATCATTAACCCAAGACTTCACAAGCTCCGCCCTCCAGAATGCTCAATGCTCAGAATCCAGTGACCTCACGTTTAGGAAACAATGGGGCCTGGGCATTTCAAGGACTCATAGTAACTGGAGAGATGGGTAGGTAAGCTCCCTCTCTCCAAGGCCACTGGCAAGGTACCAGAGCTGGACCTTATGGATTCCCAACCGAAGGACCTGAGTATCCCTGCTGGTAAATGACCCTCCTATTCCTGACCCTTGCTTGGTGCCCTTAGCTTGGGAGGACCTTTAGCATGGATGGTGTGTGTGGTGGGTCCTGCATGGAGGAGTGCTAAGCAGTTAAGCTATGATTTCCTCTAGAAAATTAAGGACTTTTTGAGTGCAGAGGGGTGCTATGAATACACTAGGACCACCACAACTGAATGGATAGAATGGGATGGGACACTGGTGTCCCTATCAACTGTTAAACTCTCACTTCCTTGATAGGCCTCGCCTTTAGTGTGGTTCTCCATCTGGTGGATTGGATGGGTCCAGGGTTGAGAACCAGAGGCCTGACTAAGCCCAGATAGGCCATGCTCCACTCCAACCTCCAGCTTTCTTTATCTATAAAGGGCTAGGGGGCTTCTTAAGGTCCCTGGAAATCTAACTTTGACTAAGAGAATGATGAAATCAATGGGGAGGGAGGGAAGGAATGAAGAGCATGGTTACGTGGATGGAATGACCAATGAATGGGTTAAGAAGAAGAAACAACTCAGGCCCCAAGTTAGAGCTATCAGCCAGTTTGCCTCTTTTTCCCTTCTTATTGCCTTAGTGTGGATCGCGCTGTACTTTGGATTCCTGGGGCTGTGTTCAGTGCTAACTGGTGGCTGCATCCTCTTTCTGCACTGGAGGAAGAACCTGCGGCGGAAACAGCGTGCCCAGGAGTGGGGAGAGGTGATGAGAGCCACTACATTCACCTACAGCCCACTGTTGTACTGGATTAACAAGCGAAGGCACTATGGCATGAACACAGCCATCAACATGGGCCCTTCCCTGACTGTCTCCACGACTGATACCGAGGTCCAGACTTCAGATGTTCTGTGGGAGTTGGATAGCACTGAGAGTAGGAGCTATGTTGCTCAACAAAGTAGCCCCAAGGAGGAGGCCCCCGTGCCCCCGCAACCTGCACTGGAGCTGGTCCCACAGCCTCCCCTAGCTTCCCCAAGGCCTCGGCCCCAGAAGAGCTCCCCACTCACGATTCCCATCTTTCAGGAGGTGCCCTCTGCTCTCGCCCTGTGTAACCTACCTCCACTGCTGAACCACTCCGTCTCCTATCCTTTGGCCCTTTGTCCTGAAAGAAACCTCCACTCCCCTTCCCTCCCCACACTGGCCCATGGGGACCACTGCTTCAATGCCAAGCCTTTTGCTTCAGAATTGTAGTCTCCTTTCACTGAGTGTGGAAGTTGGAGGTACTGGGGCAGAGCTAACTTCGGAGGAGGTATTGACAGGCTAGGGCACATCTGGATGTCAAATTATGAAAGATTAAAAAAAAAGTCCCAGGCTCCCTGGTGTCTCATTTGTTGTTAGGAGGGCAAAGTCCTTCTCCTGTTTGATAGGGACAATTTGCAAACCAAATTGAAGGTCACTGAGAATCACAAAAACAAATGGAAATTGGAGGGTTGGTTGTGGGAAAACACACTGAACTGGTACTTGTGATGGGCTCAACAGTCCTCTACCCAGTTTTTACTTAAGACCAAAAATGTATGCTAGGTTCTGGGATAGGTACCCAAAGGCACTGCCATTCTGTGGGACATTAAGCATAGCTGCCACAAAGTGATAGCTTTGGGCATGGGTGAACTATGGCAATTCATAGTGGTAGGTCACAGGCAAAACAGGTCAGAGATCCAGGAGCTACACCACTGCTGGCTCAATCACATTCTTTTGTTAACATGTACGTGTACTGAGTTGGGGTTGTCTCTACATTGTTTCTGATATAAGAATACTGCCAGTGACATTCCACTTACAGATGAAGAGAAAGTTCTCAAGGTCTCAAATTTATATCTGGCTGGCTTCAAAGTTAATTTTCCAACCATCCACCCTGATGTCCCTTCCTTAATATGCCTGGTTAGAATACACTTGGCAAATGATTTGTATGTGTGTAGGGTGGAACGAAGTTGGTCCATGGAGTGGCTTGGGGGAAGGGCTGGTCAGTGAAGCCCCTAAAATAATATATCAAAATATGTCCAGTTTTTATTTTATTTTTTAAAGAAAATTATTAAAGTATTTATTTTAAAATATATTTTATTGATTTTTTTACAGAGAGGAAGAGAGAGGGATAGAGAGTTAGAAACATCGATGAGAGAATCATCGATCAGTTGCCTCCTACACACCCCCCACTGGGGATGTGCCCCCAACCAAGGTACATGCCCTTGACTGGAATCGAACCTGGGACCTTTCAGTCCACAAGCCGATGCTCTACCACTGAGCCAAACCGGTTTCGGCGTAATATGTCCAGTTTTTAAAAAAGATCTTTCCTAAAGGGATCTATGGCCCTTCCAAAAGGTAAGATCCACTATAGGAGAGAAATTTTGTACTTTTCTGAAAACGATCCTAAAAAAACCCCTAAGATAATACTGGCTATTTTGTGCCAGATAAAAGGTAAGAAAGCTCAGGTCTGCCCCAGAATATACAGTTTTTCCCTTTCACTTTGGACATAAGGAAATCATCTATATAATAGTTAATATGCAAATTGACCTTTATGCCCTCACAGGATGGCTGCCTACAACCAGGCTGGCAGGAGGGTTAGTGAGGACAACCAGATGACTGAAGAAGCAGGCTGTGTGGGGCAACCGGGCCAGTGGGGGGGTCAGTTGGGGACAACCAGGCCGGGGTGGGGGGGAGAACAGTAAGAGGCAACCAGGCCGGTGGATGGGCAGTTAGGGGTGACCAGGCTGGCAGGGGGTGCAGTTGGGGGCAACCAGGCCAGTAAGGGGGGGGGAGTGGCAGTGGTGGTGATTAGGCTGGCGGGGGGGGGGGGGGGGGGCCAGTGATGGGTGAATAGGCCAGCAGGGGGGCGGGGAGGGAGAAGAGTTGGGGGAGACCAAACAACTGAATAAGCAGGCTGCATGAGGTGACCAGGTTGGCAGGGGTGCCATGAGGTGTGACAAGTCTGGCAGGAGGGGGGGCAGTTGAGGGCGACCAGGCCAATAGAGGGGGGCAGTTGGGGGGGGGGGACCAGGTTGGCAGGGGGAGCAGTAAGAAGCAACGAGGCAGGCGGGGATAGGGGCAGTTAGGGCCGACCAGGCCAGCAGGGGGGGGGGGGGCAGTTAGGGATGATCAGGTTGGCAGGGGAGAGCAGTTAGGGAAAACCAGGCAGGCAGGCAGGTGAACGATTAAGAGCCAGTGGTCCAGAAGTAGGATGTCTGACTGCCAGTTTAGACCTGTACCCCAGGATCAGGTTTAAACCAGCAATCAGATATCCCCCAAGGGGTCCCAGATTGGAGAGGGTGCAGGCTGGGCTGAGAGGACCCTCCTCCCGCCCCATGCACGAATTTCGTGCACTGTGCTTCTAGTCTTATCATATTTGGTAAGATGCTCAAATGTGATAAGCTTTACGTAGTCTTCCATGAGGGGGAAGGCCACCCACAATGTGGGTGTGTAATCTTAGAATCTAGCAACCATGTAGAGCTAATTTTTCTAACATTTTTCTGTGCAAAAGAGCTCCAGCCCCTATATGACCACTTTCTTGCAATGGATTTCAAGGCCACACCCTTTAAGACAGTGGGACATTTCTTTTAAACATGTTCTTACCCTGAACCTCAACATATAAAACAGTCCTAGTTAGAGCTTCTGTGGTTGATACAGGAACAGGGGCTCACTCATAACTTCCCCCCTCCCCTCCCAACCTACAGATGCCAAAGAAGCAGCCTTCACTCCTTCAGTCCAAATTCTGCATTCGTCAGGTAGTCTTCAATTGTGGGAACACCGTGCCCACAATCTGTCTTTGCTTCCAAGAGGAGGGAGGAGCCGGGACTGGTTTAGCTCAATGGATAGAGCGTCGGCTTGGGGACTGAAGGGACCCGGGTTCGATTCCGGTCAAGGGCATGTACCTTGGTTGCTGGCATATCCCCGGTAGGGGGTGTGCAAGAGGCAACTGATCGATGACTCTCTCTCATCGATGTTAGAAAACTCTCTGTCTCTCTCCCTTCCTCTCTGTACAAAAATCAATAAAATATATTAAAAAAAAAAAAACACAAAAAAAAAACAAAAACAAAAAACTTAAACTTAAAAAAAAAAAAAAAAAAAAAAAAGAGGAGGGAGGAGTCCATAAAACTAGGTTTCAAAGCAGATATGTTTTTTCTTTAGTAACCAGGGATGGGGATCTTAGTCATAGACACAGTGGGAGAAAAAGGAAATGTTTTATTTAGATAAATTAAGATGGTTGTATTACTGATATGAAATAAGCAAAGTTCAAATCAAGCCATGGAAACCTTGAATTCACTCCCCAAACAGAACCAAAACTGCTTATACATTACCAAAATAGCTTCACTAAAGCAAAGTAGATTGACATTTCTTAATGTGAAAAAACAACAAGGTAGGTTAGGTTCATATAACAAACAATACACGCTCTATAAAGTCTCAGGAATACCCAAATGTGTTCTGGTTTGGATACGAAAGCAGGGACTGCATCTAGCTGGTGTTGGTAAGCAAGCCAATGAGGTGTGTAGCAAACGAAAGCTGTCACTAAAAACAACTCAACAGCAGGCCATTATGAGTATGAGCCCATCACAGCCAGAATCTTCAACTGTGACCGGCAAGACCAGCGGGGGCGCCGCCAGTGTTCTGTCCAGCAACATAAAGTGAGGAAACACCAGTGGGAGGGACAGTAGCCAGTAGGTGAAGAGTGTGTGTTCTTCAGCTTTGCTGTTTGAGGCACATTCCTAAGTGCCAGGCCCCTCTCCGCCCTTAAGATAACATCAGAGTCAGCTCTAAGCTGATTCTCTCTACTTTTGGTTCTTTTCTTCCTGCAAAACACTTTTGCCCTTTAAGTAAACATTATATCAGAATGTACAAGACAAAAAAAGGACCAGAAGCAGTGCTCTGGGTAACTTGGGAAAGGCAGCATTAGGAGCTGCCAGAGTGGAAAGGTCCAAGTAACTGAAACCAAAACCCAAACCCAACTCATCACTACTGCTGACCTTCATTTCAGAGCTGAGAGGCGGCAGGCGAGGCTTGATTATAGTTTAAGACAATTTACAAATAAAAATGCCAAATAAACACTGAACAATAGGTTTTTGAGGCTCTTCTTAGACCAATGAATCTGCTCAACTTAGAACAAAGGAGTTCAAGGTGCCCTAGTTCTGCCTGGGAGATAGGGCACTTCCCCAGGCTGTGTGACAAGGATAGTCTTAAGTCTGAGAGGGTAGCAGGAACACCTCTGCCAAATTGGGTAGGGGGAGAGGATGGCACTATATACCTGGCTCAGGGATGATGCCAGCCAGACATACTTGAGGTGAAAATGGATGATAAATCAAACTAAACTAAATTAAAAAATGATTCCTCCATGATAGCTCTCTGATGCAAAAGGAAAGTACATACAACAAAGAGTTAAGGTGTCCTCAAAGTATATGCCTATGAATAAGAATTTGAAACTAAAAAGGACAAGCTACATTAACCCCAAGTATATTTCATATAAATCAGTTCTCAAAAAAATACCTTCCAGGTAGACATACTATTTATGGTACAGTATATACAAATATAGCAGAATAATTCAATTTATTGCTAGAGTGTTATTTGGTTGTTACAAAATCCGTTAGGGTATATATATTAAAAAAAGGGGGGGGGGCAGGGAAGGCAGCCAGAAGAGTACTCTTCAAGTTACCCAAAGTGCTAATTTTATATTATATTTTAACCTTTCCAAGAAAGTGAAATAGCTTGGATGGGCAAGGAAAAAAAATTTTTTTCTTTTTAAAAGAAAGAGAAGCATAAGCCATATGAGGTAAGCAGACACATTCATGGGAAAAGACTTCATCTTGCTTTAACTAAAATTTAATATTTCTAGAAAAAAAAAATCAAGGCTAGCCTACACCAAGCTGAATATCATATAAAGAAAAAGCAAAACAAAACCAGCCCTTAAATAGTTAAGGATGTTTGGCTGCATCCTCGGCTAACTGGGCTACTTGGACAAAATTAAAATGGAAATGAGCTCCACTAAAGAAGTTGGTCCACGAAAGCTTCTCTAGTTTCTCCCTGACGTGGCCTACAGCACAGTTAAGTTTTGCAATTTTTTTTTCCTTTTGTGTTGTTCAGAGACTCTTTCTGAGAACAACACAGCACAGATAGCATGGAGGTATAATTCCTTTCAGTTCAGGGTCCTGTAGTCCCAGGCTATAGAAGTATTTAAAGGGAAAAGTATTGCACTTGCTTGCATTAGGTCGGAAAACACTTGCTACCATCATGTAAAGCTCAATGTCCCAGGCCTGTCTGCTATGTTTGGCATCCTCTGGACATAAAGCTTCCAGCTACTTCTGACTTGATAACCATGAAGAAACTTAGTATGTTCCCAACTTTTATGGCCTTATCCCCCAGAGGAACATATTAGGTTCTTGGTTAGCCCCCAGGTGAAATCTCAGAGTTTCTTGGGTCAGAGTTAGAGGCATAGCTCTCTTCTAAAGCTCCTGGGAAGCCAGGCTGAGCCAGTGGACAGGGACTTCAGCCCTGCCATCCAAAGGTGGAAGTCAGCCACAGCTTAAAGAGAGACGAGTGTGTGTGTGATAATCCTGCTCACTCAGGGAGGGAAATATAGCTCCCCACTGGATAACTTTTTATGTCCATAAACCCTGAAATAGGATAAAAAAATAATAAAAATGCCAAGAATACTTCTCTGGTTCACTGATTGAAATTAGCTAAGAGGACAGAAACAAAGAGATAGATCTTACTATCCTGCACCTGGAGGCTATGCTGTCCCCAATATCTACTCCCTAAATATATTCCTCCGGCCACCAGGCAAAACTCCACGGTAGCACCTAAAGGAGATGCCTGAAGGAGACATGGGCCTAGTTTTAGTCGCTACCAAATCAAATTAGCGATTTTTGACAAGCCATTTGCTCATGTCCTGTTTCAAACCATTCCTCCTAACTTCCCACAAAATATGCAGAACTCTTCTTTCATTTTAAATCTTTATAAACAGAAAAAGCCTATCTTTTAAAGGAGAGACATTTTTCTGAGTCTGAATAAAGTGCAGCTAATTTAAGGCAAATTTATGTGACATATAAAAGGTGGCTTATTCTCACTATATATACATTTTCTAGTTCTAAAAGATAAAGTTTCCTTCCCTCAAAAAAGGAAAGAGAAAGAAAAAAGGGATTGACTTTTATTCTAGCAATTTTAGAATTAAGATCTTACTGGTTTCAGGAAATCATAGATTTCTGAATATCTTAAGTAAAATGATCTTTCTTAAAAAAGTAACTTTTATATAGCTTTTTCAAACAAGTTAAAAGATTGCAATGTGTCTGCTACAATAGTTTGGAGGATTGGAGGACTGATAGATAAATAGAAGGGGTGTTTTTGTTATGTGAGTAGTTACTAGGTAGCCCAGGGTATATATCCATTTCTAAATATGTCCAATGAGGCTAGACACCTACAGCTGTTCTTAGCTCCAGGAATGAGTATCTTCCATCTCCATCAGCATCAAACTCCCTCAAACTCTCTGGTGCTGGCATAGTAGAGCCTAACAAGTTCCAAATTTCCTGGTAGGTTAGCTCCCCATCCATGTTCTGGCCAGTCTTGTGGAATAAATCCTGAAGATCTGTCAAAAAATTGCAAAAAGTGTATATGTTTATAAATATAGCTAAATTTAGTTAACAGTTTAAAAAATAGCCTCAACTGGATGTAAAGCATTAAAAGAAAGCTATTTTGCAGACTCTGATTCCAAAAGGTAAAGATTAGAGTATCACTAAATCAGAAAGACTAATTCTTTCTTGATCCTTGAGAGAAATACTGTATGGCACTATCCTCCTAAAACAGAAGAAGTGATAGATAATCACAGGAGAATAAAATAGGCCTTTTCTCTGTCCAGGGCCTTCCTTTAGGAATTTTCAGATTTTATTCTTCTGTTGAAGGGGTGAAAAGGACTATACAGGCTTAAAGAGATAATTGTCAGAAGCTTTGTTTGTAAAATAGACTCTGGCATTTTGTCAGTTAAACAGAGTTATCATGTGATCCAGCAATTACATTACTAGGTATATATTCAAGAGAAATGAAAACATATGTCTACACAAAAACTTGTATACAAATGTTCATAGCTACATTATTCCTAAGAGCCTAAAAGTAGAAACAACCCAAATGGCAATCAATTGATGAATGGAAATACTAAGTGTATTCATACAATGGAATATTATTCAGTCATGAAAAGGAATGAAATATATTACATGCTGAACCATGGATGAACCATGGACGAACCTTGATAACATTATGCTAAATGAAAGGAATATAATGCAAGAAAAAAGTATATATAAGGTCATATATTGTATGATTCCATTTATATGTGAAATATACAAAACAGGCAAATCCAAAGAGACAGTGGTTGAGAGATTAGTTGTCAGGGCTGGGGGAAGGGAAAAAAGGGAATGACTGTTCAATGGGTACAGAGTCCTTTTGGGGATGAT